AATGTTTTTCCAAAAAAAAAAAAAAGGCCTCCAAACAAGGGCTATGTAGTGAGTGCACATATTTCAAGGTGGGTTGATTAAATTAGACACCTATAACAGTGCATAAATCGCTGAATGCTTGATTTGATTGGAGAATTAAATCATATTAAACATTAAGTAAAATTCAATACTACCAAGTTTATCAATGTAGAACATATTAATAAACAATGTTTAGCAAGAACGTAGTGTTTAACCTAGGCCCTTTGTCCCCAGAAAACAGATGTATAGAGATTAACCAACTCCCAAACAACATTGACAATAGTTCTGACGTTATAAGTCCTAGTTAATTATTCTAGCATGAAAGTAGCATTGGTGTACTATAGGTGTGAATGGTGGCACTGTAAATATTCATCCCGTAATCTATCAATTTTTAGACACTTTGTTCCTACGTCACAAGTCACAACTATGCAACGTTAAAATAGTTTGGAGAGGGGTGTACTGTTTACAGAAGGAGCAGGCAAGATACTGTAGTTGAATAGTGGCATTACAATTATTCGTCCCGTATTCTATCAATTTATCCGTGTTCTTTCCTTTTTCAATAGAAAAAGTACTGGTTGAGGATCCAACAGGACAAATAATCACACGTGCATGAAATGGAAGGAAAAAATATATATATAATACAAGCTCTAATTTTCAAACAGTAAGCATGAATCAACCAGGCAAATAAACCAGATAGAATGCAGATTGATAGGGGCAAAGTCAGATCATTCATTCTAATAGCAAGAGCAACACAAAAAAAATAATTTAAGCTAATGCAGAGAAAATTGATTGTCATGTCTTTGTGCTCTTTACGTGAAGGCCTAAATACAGGGTTTGCAGACATACCAACTGCATTTTTCATCATATACTGGCCTCCACCATCAGCATGTTTACCAATATCATCTTCTTCACAACAGCCAAAACAGCTCATGTTTGTTTTACTCGAAGATCTCCTCTCTGTATAAGAGAATTCCTTTTTCCTGTAAGAAAGAGAAAGCTCCCTTTGATGCATATTGCATAGCATGAAAGTAATCAAAAATGATATAATGAGCTAGGCAGAAACAGTATTTATGTGTCAATATTCAGAGTGATCCCATCTGAATATTTGGAGAATCGTACAAAATTCATATTGAAAAGAGCAATAATTTCCAAAAAGTAAATAAATTTATATAGATTCTTAAGCAAATGCTTATTTGACCTAGCCACGGCACTTTGAAGCAATCACAGTCCAAGTACAAGAAAATTACCAGAATACAACCATTTACCTACTGCAATTCAACATCTTTTCCATGCTCCTGTCATTTTGTGAGAACTTGCTACACAATTACCATAATTATGATAAAAGTGTTAACAGAAAATGCTGAAATCAAGGATGTGAAATGACAGACAGTTGTGGTGCTTTGATCAAGCATACATCAACAGTTCACATCATGACTCTAGGACCACTAGCTAAATATTATGGCAGTGCTTTATGGTATTTGAAGATCTAGTAATATTAGGTATAATACAAGCTATTCAATATATTAAACATCCAATAACACCAGCCAATATTATTATTCTCATTAGACACCAATGTAGTGATATATCAAAAGCCAAAAGGTGTACTAGCTGTTGTACAATCACAGCATAAATTTTCTTAATAGGTATATGCAATGAGAGCTCTATAACATAATGCTACCGGGAGCATTAACTATTTCAGCTGAATCGGTGATTACCTACTTTTTCTTTCGGCAGAATCAATTTGCTGTGAAATATAAGGTTTGGAACATTCGCGATTAATTCCACAATTGTCACACAATACAATATCATGATATTCACTGGCTCTCTTAGTTCTTACCATATTGTGACACATAATTCAACCTGCACATTCCAAATTTGTTCAAAGCATCATACTTTGGACTGGAAAGATAAACATAATAAAACCTACAATAACCATCGATATAAGTAAAATAATTAACCAAAATCATTTTCATCAACAATTGTTCATTTCCCAAGTAGATGACACTACATAGTTCCTTGGGCGTATAATCAAAGAATAGACTTGTTTCCAGAAACACGACTGGTCATACCAAAATCAGTACACCAGGATAGATCACTTAAAGGAGGTTAACTTCGGATAGCATACCCACAACCTTGTCTTTGCATTTTGCTTCTTCATGTGCCACGTATTTGTAACTACTTACATTTTCATCAAAACTTTGGAGCCATCATTATAGTTGCCACAACTTCTATCGTCCTTTTCAATTTTTGAATAGCTCTCAAGTTAGCAAGAGCGGTCTTTTTTTTTTTTTTTATGTTCGAGATCATCCTTGCTGAATTTCCATAAACAAGGAACTGTATATATAATAGCATGCCCAATTATAGATTGATCCATATTTATAGGACATGTAATAAACTTATCATCATTTTGCTTAATTTCATTAAATTGCTAGGCAACGACAAAGAGTTGCAGGTGTGACCCTCATAACAATAATCAATTTGTTCCTTTTTTCAGTTTTCAGCGAGTCTATGCAACAGCATCCTCCCTGATCTCTAGCTTGGGAGATCAGCACATAGAAACCATACTCAATTAAGAGGAGGTCTTTGCCATTGCTCGCTTTCCAAAGTGGATAAATAATTAATATTTGTAACCTTGCATTTATACTCTTTATACGTTTAAAATTCATTACTGCGTAACTATTCCAACACAAAATGGATTCATTCGCCTGCAGTTTTGTAGATCGAAACAATTTAACAACCATAAACGGAAAAACGAAAAGGAAGGAAAAATAATTATACTTGGAAGACTGTTCACGCGAACAGACACGGAGATCTAGGAGGAACCAGTTAGATGACAAATGATCATTAATTATACTTGGAAGTAAAAAAATTCAAGCTACATATTTACCAGAAACACAGAGATCAAAATTGAAGGAAAGCGATAACTAAACCTGAAATCAGTAAGCGATGCAAAAGAGTCTTGTACCAATCTACTCCAGTAAATCCACAATCCCCACACACTGAGTGAGTGAGAGAGATGGCGAAATAGAAAAGAGATTGGGCAATCGAGGAGAGAAGGATCGGAAATCGAATCCGGCGATAAACAGGGAAGTAATTAAGCCAAATTGGGGAATCAATGGGTTCATATATATTACAATGCGCGCGTGAGGAAGAGAGAGGCTCGTCTTTGCTTATATAGAAATTGGGCTTTGATTTGTTCAAGAATCAAAGTAACTTTGCTTATGGCTACAGTTCTACGCAGCTTTTGGCAGAAAAACCAAGCGTGATGAAGGTTCAGAGCATGGCATTGCTTCTCCAGTAGAAGAATTCAATTTTTTAAAAGAGGAAATCGCAAAGTCAAAAGGTGAGACGTGTTCGTCGCTTTTTCTTTTTTTTTTTAAATGGAGCAATTGGTACAAAATATTTATTTAATTCTTCTTCTTGGTGCAATGGTCTCTATCATTTCACTTTTAACATTTGATCCTCATACAATCATTTTTTGCACAAATAATTCTTGTTGTCTCATTTCGTTCATTATATCGATTTGCTTAATGACATTTTGGTAAGATAGTAATTGACCATCTTTTCTAGCCTAATCCTAATCATTCTTAAATGGTAATATATGTGTATAAATTAGTATAAAGTTAAGCTATTTTGGCAGAAGCAGCTGTTAGAAGGGGTAACAGAGGAGTAGATGGATTGATTTCATTGGCTGCCAATAAACTACTTTTTTCCTAAAGACAAATCAATGTTTGACACATCTGTTTTTGTTATGCCGACTGTCAATCCCTTCTATCAATCCCCTCTTGGGGATTTTGAAGTGGGTTTTGTACATAGTCTAGTTTGAATTATGAAATATCGAGTTTTCATTGGCAAATACGAAATTTTGTAGACATCTGGCGATTAGCTGGTCAAATCTCGAGTTTGCTATGTAAAAGTCGAGTGTATTGGACAAATATCGAGTTTTTTGTGCAATTGTCAAGCATCTGGGCAAATTTTCGAGTTTGTTTGGCAAATCTCAAATTCATAATTTTTTATCCACAATTTTGAAAATTGCATTCCATTTTTTGGGTTGAACTCTAACTTCAATTATCTTTTTAACGATATATTATTTTTCTTGTAGACATACGTGTGACTAAAGTTACGCAGTAATTTCCACACATGCTCCACAAAATTTGCACATCTTACTCGATTTTTGCATAGCAAACTTAGAGGTGTATTTTTAATTGAGACATTTATAGATTTATTAAGTGGTAAACTTTTGTGGAATTCATGAACTTTTATAAATTTGTACGAGATTAATGGAAGTAATTTGTAAATTTTATAGAATTTTATTTTAAAACTTTATAAAATTCATAAAGTTTTTGAAAACTTTCATTTAAAATATAATTCACGTGGATCTAGTGAAAACAACGTAAAGCTCCCATATTGGTGGTTTGTTCCCCACAATTTTTTGCCCCTCCCCACGCAATAAAAAATTACCTATATTCTTGACAAATAGTTTTGACAAAAAAATTCCGGCCCTTAATTTAAGTTAATCTAAAGGTTTTATAATCCCTTTAAATTTAAAAATGGGTCACCACACGCTCACGTTCACGTCCACTCCCCTTAATCTATGTTTCCCGTATCATTATCCTACACTTCTTGCACTCTCTCTCTTCAAATTGAAAATTCCCACAGTTTTGTACAGAAAGATTCTTGAAAACCCAATGCAAAATCTTCCCTCATAAGATTTATACTTCCAATAGAAGAGTCAATGAAGAAATGCATGAAATTTTCAAATCAAATGCCAAATTATCGAATCTCTTGTACCTCTATGTACCATCCTAATTATCAAAACCAATGTCAAATTTTATCATATCATTTTCTGATTTTACTATTCCATCAAAACCGACCAGAAATCATAACTCATAGGGCTGCTTAATTTATAGTCTAATAAATAAATATAGAAAAAAATGATAAATTTATTTACAATGTTATCCAGTCGGTTTAGTCTAGAGAGAATTAGGAGTTGTTCTATTTGTGTTTCGGTTTTGTATTTTGAATTCATTTTGGGTTTTGTATTCTGAGTGTTCATTTTGAGATTGTTGAAAATGTGTTCTTTTGGCATTTTGAAAAATTGTTTTGAAAATACCGAAAACGATTTTTGAAAATTTTGGCTTGATTATAACTGAAACCACCAAAAGCGACCAATTTTTTTTTTTTTTGTAGTTTTTTTTTTATTTTTAAATTTTTTTCAAAAACGCGTTTTANTTTCGAAAATAGGAAAGAAAACGCGTTTTCACTGTTTTAAAAAATCAAAAACAGAAAACGGATTGAAAATGGTAAAGAGAATAAATCATAAGTTCTTCCGCGGCAGCCATTTTCTATTTTCCTTCCAATTAATCAAAAAAACTATTGAAGAAAGAAAAACAGATAATTGCTGCAGGGGAAATGTCTCATATATCTAACACGGAAAACTAATATAAAACCAAATTAAAATTTAATGAAATGGTTGAAGATTTGATTGATAATGTTA